GTTACTGATTTTACTTATTGTAACCGCAATTTTCTCTTACTACTATTGTTCTTTATGCATGAATTGTTTTTGTTTCACTGGCCATTTAAATTTACTATTGGTATCCTACTAGTTACCATAGTGTTTGGGGTGTTATCAGTATGAATTGTAAGCAATTCTTAGTGATTAATCAAGCATTAGACATTGTATTAATACCTTGGTGTATTAGTGATATGACTCAAAATTGTTCTCACTGGAGCAAATGCACTCACGCTTTAAGGTCTTCTAGATTCATAAAGCCTTCATACTTTTGCAAGTTAATTATTCTTTCTCCCGAACACTTCTGATCATTATTATTATTATATATTACTGTTTCCTTCAGTTCCTATAGGAACATAGGGGCTTCAGTCTCACGTCTCCATTGCGTTTGGTTTTCTGTCAACGTTTTCACCTGGTTCCACGTCTGCCCACATGCTTTCATTTCCTCTTCACATGATCTCCTTCATGTCACCCTTCCACTGGTGGGGTAAATCACCACTCCTGGTTTGGGTTCCACTTGAAAGCCTATTGCGGGATGCAGCTTGATGATTTTTTCAGAGTATGGCCAATCCACCTCCACTTTTTCCTGCATATTTGCCACTTTCTATCCCTTTTATCTACCCTTGTGTGCTGCACAGAGGGTGGCAACTTGAACTAGAGATAATACTGCATAATCAGTAGTCATGTTTGTAAAGAGTCTGTGTCAAATGACTGCTGATGTAAAAGGGAATACTGACTGAGGGGCTTTGCTGAGATAAACAGAGGAGAAAGTGTTATATTACTGTTGATGAATACTTGTGAAGGCGTAATTGAGGAATTACCATTTGAGTTCTCCATAAATGTACATTAAGCTAATCAAAAAAGTGATGACCAAACCATAACCTAAACTTTTCTTCCACCAGAAAGTTAGTCCAGACAACTATTGAGGTCAGATTTAAATTTGAGATTGTGTTTATTCACTTTAGTGATCCAAAACAGAAAACTCAGACAGGCGTTTAAATTGAATACATGAGTAAGACAAGCCTCCTCACTATCACCATAAGTATTCCTAGTTGTGGTGAACTGGAATTATGAAATAGATATGTTCTTTTGAAGGTCTATGTTTCTCTCGGAACCCAAGGGAATAATAATAAGATAGTTTTATTGGTCTGTCTTATTTACAAGTTACTGACTACAGTCTTGGTTAATATAATGATAAGTGGAGACAAAAGATTTCAAATTTTAATCTACAGCATTCTCAGTAATCATCCCCATCCTGAACCATAAATCTTCTTTAATAATGTATTAAATGTGTACATTCCCAATCTAGTTTATTTACACTAAATGTAGGTTTCATAGACTTTGTCCCATATTTATTTATGCTTTAGGGAAATTAGCGAAAGCTGACAACATTTTACTGCTTTTTACTGGGATTAAAAGAAGTATGAGCCTTTTTGCATGAGAACTAGCGCCAAACAACATTAAAAACTGACTGGATGTGTATCATCTTGTATTGTAACAAAAAGTTTAATAGCCACGTTGTCTACTATAACTTACCTCCATTTCGGGGGCAAATTAAAATGCATGTGTAAAATTTCTACGGGATAAAATATCTTATAATGAAACCGTGTAACCAATTAAACCCTTGCAAATCAACACGTGAATATCATTCTGGTGCTCAGTTCCAAACAACCCGCACCCTTAGGTAGTAAATTTTACGAGTTCGTCAACCTGTTACATTACAGATTATGACCAAATTTTCCTTTAATAGACAGTTTACTGACATGACAATTTAATGATATTTTCAAGAGTTACTTTGTAGAAATTTGATTCGTTTTTCCAAGTTTCGTCACGGATTGATATCAAACATAGAATCATTAAAAACCTATACGGAGTAAGCACTGGAGAGTTGCTTTGCCCTAGTTCATCAGCACACGCCTACCGTCAGGATTCCAACCCAGGACCCTCTCGTTACAAGGCGAGCTCGTAGACCATTCAAGCACTGGAACCCGACACAGTGAACCGTGAATTCCAACTTTTACCAATTCAAGAGAATATCAATTAGATGCTCACTAGCGACTGGCCCTATTCAGGTAGGTAGTTACCTGGGTTATAGTGAGAATTCGTGACGAGTGAGATACAGCCGGTCGGCAGAAATCGGCATTCATGGGCTACTGTGGGTCTACGAGCTTGCCTTGCAGCCTGAAGATGCTGCATTCGAATCCCTGTGGTGCATATTGATGAGGAGACCCAAACTAGGATGAAACAGCTGTTCAGTACTCCCTAACGGTTTTCCGATGGTTTTTTAACTGATGAAATTCGGTGAATATCTAACTACGTAGAAAAGCCATATGAAAGAAATTTCTGTGTAAAAGTTTTAACTCTTTTGTGTTTTAAATGGAACGTGGGGGTTCAAGTTTGAGTCTTGAAATTCCAGTAGCAGTGGTGCTTATTTTTCGGGGGTGGGATTTTTAGCCTTACACCCGACCATTCTTCTTCGCTCGACTTACAACCAGTTAAGAAAGGTTTAGGAGTACGTCGATTAGGAGGTAAGATGTGGTTGGTGAGCACTGTTCCAACGAACCACTACAACTTTAAATCAAATGATTGTTGTTTAATACTAAGAAATCGAAATCTTAACTCCGATTCGAAGTGAACCACTTAAAATTAGCATACTTCAACTGAAACTCATATTTTTACTAATTCTTGGAAATTCGACTCCAGATGTTCCGACTTACAAAACAGAATTATGAATTAGTGTTTTAACAAACTTTAACATGACAGGAAATCATTTTTAAGTGTTTAAATTTAAATCATTTCTGTTGCACATTCAAACTTTAATAGAGTTCTTTTTGATGAAAATATGTCGATTGGTCACATTCTGTCGTATGTCATCCTGGTAGTTGTATGCGTTCTGTACAAAATATTCAAAAGTTGATTTAAGCTATGGCGGAACCCCTGCCTCCTCTGTCAATACGTCAACCAACGAATCGTCAACATCACACTGAAGCAGAACATACAAATTATTCATGAATGTCATGCATGTATGGCATTGGAAGTTTGCTGCCCATCTGATCTTTTAGTTTTCAATAATTTTAAAATTCCCACCGAGATCATTTTAGAATACGAATTAAGTAAGCAAACAAATAAGCATTCCGGGTAAATTGTTATCAGGTTTTACAATTACATAATAAAATGTCAGTCGTAGACATCTGAGCCAATGTGCATTAATGGAATCAAGTACAATCAAGGCGAATGTTATCTCATCAGTAACCCCCAAGATTCTGTGCTAGAAAACTCCGCACAACCAACACTCTTGAAAATGAAATAATGAAAACAGATATTCAGAAAAATTTGTTAAAGTTTCTATGATGAGCACAGATACAGAGGGAAATGCCTGCAAACTGTGCAGAAGGAGGGTATAGATGTAACTTTACTGTTGAAAGCAGACTCAGCCACTGAATTGGTAGCATTGAAAGTTAGAAAAATAATAGTTAAAACATCCCTCACCGAAGCATCGTGTTTTTTTTTAAGTATAGCTTCATTCCACAGTATTTTGGGAATCCTAACATGTGATATCCATAGCCCAAATTTACCAAGCCTACGAATGATATCAGGTATGCTACGGCCGGAGTTCGAAGCCCGGACCATGTGCATGGTCAGCGGACATCCTAACCGCCATACCGCTGACACACACAATTTCACTGATTCCATGTCAGGTGAAGGATAAGCTACCGAGTTTGGTCACTTCTGTGTGTATTTATAAATTTGCTTGTTCTTGTGTTGAGAGGCAGTTACATAGGTAGAACAACTCATCAAGCCCACTGTTGCCTTCTTGAGTATTGTCTAACGTGATTAGGTTGGGTAAAGGAGTCATAAAGTCATTCAGGAGTTGCATACTGCCACACATTTTGTAAATAAGGAGCACAAGACTGATCAAACATTCAACCTTTGTGATTCAACACAAGGTGCCACCTCAGTTCCATAGTCTGATACGCCTTCGATTTCTAAGCAAATTTGAGGCAGTTGACATGATATATTTTTCAATCAGTTCTTTTGTTAAAAAGTATTTTGTTCAACCTCTCTCGGTCCCATGGCCTTCAACTCCAACCTGGGATACTTATCTCTCACGTTGACACCATATAGCTGTAAATTTTATTCAAGTATTGGATTGAAAGGATTTGGTTGATTGGTTACAGGATTTCATCATGAGCTGACATTAGTTAGAGAACCACTGGAAAACCAGGGAGTACCGGACAGCTGTTTCGTCCTAGTTTGGGACTCTTCAGCACTGCGCACTCACCGCCAGGGTTCGAACCCAGGACCTTCCGGTTACAAGGCGAGCTCATATACCATTAAGCCACTGGGACCCGATCCAATGCCCCATGAATTCTAACCTCAGCCAATTCACGATATAGCGCGACTACTAACGAATGTCTTCAGCGAGTATTTGTCCTCACACCCGATGTGCTGATTGGTTTCACTTGTAGTGCCCACTTCATTACCAATGTTATACTGTTTTATATTTATACATTTTAATCTTAGCCTAACAATTTATTATTGTTATTTATATTTTACCCACACTCTCATCGATTATGTTTGATTCTATTGACTACCATTGTTGCAGATGTCTATAGCTGATATTGTGTCATGCAATTACAAAGCCTGATCAGGATTTACCGAAAATGCATATTTGCTTGCCTAAGTCATATTCTCCTAGTTTTGTAGGAGTACTGTATTATTTATTATGCCTAAATGAGAAACATTATTTCAGAAATTAATCGGGAAATAAGGCTATATATATATATGGAGATACAATTCATTAAAAAAATTCACCATTCTTAAGGTCGATTTAATATGATTTGTTTTTCAAGGTCATTTAGAAGGTTATGGATGGCGGTAGCTATAATTTAACTAGCCTGATGGAGGTTTACTAAGGATTCAACAACAGGATTATAGTCAAAACTTAAAGGAAAATTATAATACAAGGTTGTATGACTTACTCTTTCTTTTCTTTTTGACAATCGTTCATTTCTTCTGAAGGCTAAGGCTTCTTTATCCACAATAGGTACTGATATATCCGTAGTAGTAGTAATCGCAGTATACTGACCTTGTTTTTTCACTTGCTTATGTAATGATTTCATTTGATCATGTTTAATAGTTGAATCTGAAGTTTCTTCTCCTTTGTGTTCATCTTCAACTTCTGTGCACCTTTTAGATTCATATTTATCATTCAATAAAGGAAGTTCTAGATGGTGATTAAGACTTTGTTGAGGGGGAGGAGGATTAGGATGAGAATCAACCACAGTTTGTTGTTTTACGGAATCAGGATTAGGGCTAACCTCTTTAACTGAATGTAATTTTAAAGTTCTAGAATAGTCTTGAGGGAGGTCTTCACTTGGATAACCATTCACCACAGCCTGTAGTTTGGCCTGTTTATCTACAGCCAATCGTAGATTGTCTAAGGCGGAAATAAGCCTTCGCTTCTGTGAATGTTCACCTGTATTGATTTTGGCTCTAGATTTATGATTAGTGTTTTTGTTTGCCTCAGTATCAGCATAATTTGATGCATCTGACATGTGGGGTGAATTATCCTCCTCAATATCATCATCGACGTCATCATCACCGTCATCATCGTCGTCATAATCTTCATCACCACTGGAATTTTCATTATCATCTTCCTGTTCACTGTCATACTCATCATCGTCATCATCGCCTTCGTTATCATCTCCAGAGTAAACCGATTCCTCAGTTATCTTGAGACCTTCATCATTTAAATCAAGAGCATGTGAAGATTCTCGTCGTGATAGGATTTCTTGTATAAATAATTTGTTAAAATTTATTGACATTTTTTACAGAAAATCAGAAATAATGTTCATGTAGAAAGTATCATACTGTGCTGAGAGGACTTTTTGACAATAGTTATTCTGTTTAATTAATGGCGGAATTCAATGGGATATCCTCGAGGCATGTTTTAGTGCCGAAACACAGCTTGTTCAAAATTTCCAACACTGAAATTAAACAATACATACACAGGTAGACACATACATATAATAACTCCTTTCATGTATGTATGCACTGTATACACTAACATGCCCACATACACAAATGTATTAACAATCATTTGTGAGATAGTTAAATGTACTATCATGTATGCTGTACACTGACTGGTGTGTGAAATTAAACGCTACTTCTTTTTGATTGGTCACAAGTCAATGATTAACAGTCATGTGATTAAAAGTTATTGGTCCCTTTATATTTCCCGGTAAATATCAATGAAAACACAATAAAGTGATTGGATGCTTTTGACCTGGGAAATAGGAGCTAAAAATAGATTTAAAAAAAGGTATTTTGCTTTTTTTATCTTAAATAATAACTTCGCTCTTCACACAGAAAAAATAGCCTATTATTCGATTACTAGTAATTATAGGCATCTCAGTAATGTTGTAAGAATATATAAATCCGAAAGTTTACTTGCATCCAGTATGACGCCGGTTGATTTAAATTATTCAAGTTCTTTTTTTGCTAATGTCAGAGATTTTTATCTACGCCTACCTAAACAAACTGTTAGACGATAACTAGTAATAAGTAACAGGTTATTACATTGGAAGCCAAAGTTGTTGCTTTTTTCAAATCGTGGAAAATACCCATCAGGATATTAGACAGAAAAGAACAAGAAGCTTGGCAAACAAATGTCTTTTTGGTGATTTCATTCTCAAAAGCAGCTGTACAGTCGTATATACATACATAATTCTACATAGATACAATTACCACTTTTAAATTACAATTGATATGGAAGTTCGAAGGTGTGAATATAGATTACAAGGGTCTTCGGAAATAAACTTATCACAGAATTAGAAACTAGGTACATACTCTGTAAAATAGATTTTAATGAAGACAGGTGTGAGCGGGATGAGTATGAAAACAAGATGAAGAGAGAAAGATGATTGTAATGAAAGAACAAAATGCTGAAAGCTATCCATAGTAAATGTAGAGTTTGCACGGGTTTCTTTTGAATACATAGCTCCGGCTTTTTGATCCATATAGCATGGACCTTTGGAATACAAACAAGTCAGAAACACACTGCCTTTGGCAGATTTTTATTTACCTTGTAAAAGATTCTGGGTAGTAAGTCAGTTGAGATGGTCTGACAAGTGTCGATGAGGTATTCATTTATGGCGTTCTAGACTGAACCATTGCCTACCCTTTACAACCATGGTGAGTAATGTCCTCTAGCAAGTTTTGAAAAGGTGCGCATAAAAAGACCAATGATCTAGCTCTGCATGATCAAGTGATCTGATATATGCGTATTGGAATGGTTGCATGTGGAGGTTTATCCTTCCTATTGCTTAGAAGCAGTTAGCGGCTACAGAATATCACTCTTGGAGTTGCTGCAGGAAAGGTATTCTTTAAGGATCTAGAGTTCTCTTCTTGAGGATATCTGCCGCTAAGCCTCTCCCAAATTCCGGATTGGGATATGGTATATCCTTTGCCACTGGTGTATCCTTCTTCTTTTGGCTTTGGTTGTTATTGCCTTCTCCACGAAACGTGTCGGGTTCCCAATTTTCTGCAAATTATTTTTCAGAAATAAGGGTTCTTCTTCTAAGTAGACAATGATGCAAGTTCTTTCGATACCATGGGTCAGTGAGATGATATAGAAGATTTTTCCGTTGGACGTTCCATGATGTTTTCCTGTGGTTTGATCTTCCCAGAGTTCCATTATTACATTTAACAAATTCTAAGTACAGAAATGGAATCCTTAATTAATTTTCCAATTCTACCGCAAATTTTGAATGAAGAATGACCATTATTAAACTCATGTAGGATAGAATTTATATTGGAATTATAATGACAGATTATAAAAGTGACGTTGACAACAGCAGTAATTTGTCTAATGTAGATTTTAAGATCCTGTTACTCAAACTGGTCATAAAGTAGTCGACCGAATTAAATAATAACTGTATCTACGTAAACTTATGTATACAAATGCGACTGTACAGCTGCATTTTAAAATAAAATTGCTGAATAGATATCTGTTTGATGAACTTCTTGTCCTCCCCGCGAAAGGTATTTTATTTATATGAAGTCTGCGTCTGAAATGCGTCGGTGCCACAGTGGTTAGGACACTCGCCCACCATGCACATGTTCCGCGGTTCGATACCTGACCAACGCACTCCTTTACCTCGCAAAACCAGAAATAAAAAGCCGGTAAATAGGAAATGTTGAGCATGAGGCTAGCAACCTCATTCTGTAAAAATAAACACGGCTACAGAAACTCCAAGCCTCTAGCTTGAAGCCCTATGTTCCACTGGGAACGTCAAGGAAAAAAAAGAAGTCTGAAGCTCCGAATTCAAACTTAAACTAAACATATAAACATGTATTTACGCATAACTTTTTGAAATCCTTTAAAGCAGAAAAATTTACTGTTTATTATATTAATACTATTATGCTAATAGTTAATTAGAAAGCGAAATTTTTAATGTCAGATATACACATTGGGTCATAGGAGTTATTAAGAAGACAATTGCAGCGAAGAAAATTTTCTTTTCGACGAAGTCATCATCTCGGCTGTACATTCGTGTATTTATATCAAATGGATAGGAAAGTTCCAGAATAATATCCGGTCAAGGGTCAAGTTAATAAAAATTAAGAATTAGAATGCCATAATAAACAGGGGGATGGATAAAACAAACAAAGTAGCATCATGATAGCTAAGAAGGTTGATATATTGTGCAATTAGGGGTTAGAGATGTAGAAATAACAAAATAGACAGGATGTTTGGATAAAATCTAATGTGATGAATAATTGTTTATGCAATCAGGGATTAAATGTGTGGAAATAGTAAAATGATAAAATAAACATGAAGTTCGGGTATGAAAATGTGGTAGTGTAAACAGGGATTAAGAAAAACTTAAAATAACAAGAATAAACAGGAAGTTTAGGTAAGAAAGGCGATGGGATGGTCATTACCATTTCAGATATGAAGTTAGCGCGTTTACAAAATCAGGTGTCAGGTATACAAAATCTAGCATGGGACTCTTGCGGTGGAATCTTATTGTCGTATTATTACCATTTTGTTAAATCGAAGCATTGAAAGGAATCCTACTAGAAATAAAAAAGAAAGTGAAGAAATTCTATTGGTAGGCTTCTAAAAAATATCAAAGGACATATCCCTAACATTTTCTAATTCAGCCAATCGAATAATTCATGAATAATTTCCATCTAGACAATGAAAAAACTTAGTTCAGAAAAGAGATTATTTTCGGTGAATTCATTTCCTCCAGCTGCATTTTTACAGTTATACGCAGTTTCTTTTTCATGAAGGATAGTAGTCACGAAGTGATGAATTGTTACAAACATAGGTTGTTGATATCAGTCAGTGCCTAAGAGGGGTGGAACAAGTGTATTGAGGTTGCGTAATTAGATGAATAACTCGCTAAAATGAGTTTTATTCAGGATGCACATAGAAACAAAGTCACACTATCTCTCTTGAATGCAGATAGATAGATAGATAGTGATGGCTGGCTACGGAGTGCTATAATCGAACACACTGTCAACACTCATCATTCCATCTCGACAAATGCCAACTCCTTCGAAGTAATCTGCAGAGTGAAGAATAAACTGCCAAAGGCTGAAGCTTTGGCCATTTAGCTAGAAAAAACGGGAGATCTGTGTACAAAGGAAAGCTGCGCAAACACTCTTTTTATCATGGTAACAGCCTTGTTCATTACTAGCAACTTTATTTTTATTTGTTTGTTTGTTTTTCTAACTCCTCATAACTCTTCTATTTGTTTTCAACTCTTTTTTTCGTTTCTATGTGCAACCTGATTACATCTCACTCACTGAACTGTTCATCTGATTATGTAACTCAAATGCATTTATTCAAATCCCCGAATACATTGACTAATATTAACAAATGTGATTGCGAAAACTTGTCAGTTTTGTGACTAACCTCTTTGATGGAAAAATTGTATACAAATGGCATTCTACAGCTAAAAAGAAGAAAGATTTCACTACAAAGAGCTTCTTCGCTGAACTCCATGTCTTGCTTTCGTTAACATCAATCAGTCTTGTGTAAATCCATACGCTGGATAGGATAGTCAGCACAAAAACTAACCAGAAGACCGAAGTACATTCTGTATTTACCATCCAGTGACCTGATGAATTGTATCGTGAATGTAATTCCTTGAAAGTGGTTGAAAATAGAGCTAATAATTTAAAGCTGATACAGCCATTCATTTAATATATACTAAGACATATTTTTATTGACAGCGTTGAGACAAAAACTTATTCACTGTGGTCTGAAGCTGGAAACCGATCTCTACCTCTCACTGTATATCTGACAAAACTTCTTCGAGACACGCAGCAATAACAAAACGCTCCAATGACGGCAAAATGAGGATTCGTAGTCCTATTCAACAATAATAACATCAAAAACTCAAAATTACTTAACCACTCCCATCAAGAGAAGCATTAAAATTAGAGACTAAACAGGGACAAAGACAAATAGTAAGCATCAAGTAAACATACAACATGACATGATACATAAGTCAACAGCGTCAGGACAATGGCATTCAATTTAGGAGAAAAATGGAGGCTAATTACAAAGTTAGTTGAAATGTCCAAGTAAGTACCAATATTGTAACTGGATCGTTCAGGAAGGATTTTTCAAACATTTTTTTCGGTACAGACAGTTATAAAAAGTTTGTAAAGGCATTCAGGCTAAAATTACCAAAACCCGAGGTAAAGTCTGGAAAATTACAGCATATTAGCTGCTGATAGGATATTTATTCCACATTTAGTAAACACTCTGTAATTCAGAACACCTCTACCCTTATTTAGTAGATTTTACGAGTACGTCAACCTGTTACATTACAGATTATGACCAACTTTTCCTCTAATAGACAGTTAAATGACATAAAAATTTAATATTTTCAAGAGTAACTTTGTAGGGAAATGATTTATTTTTTCAGTTTCCATCACGGATTGATATTAGTCAGGGAAACGTTGAAAACCTATGGGGAATGCTGGACAGCTGTTAAGTCCTAGTTACTGATTCTTCATCAATACACACCTCCTACAAGGGTTCGAACCCAGGACCTTCAGTTTACAAGGGGGACTCGTAGATAACTGAGCCACTGGGATCTGATCCAATAGCCCATGAATTCTAATTTC